CCCCCCCCCCCCCCCACCACCTGTCAAACACATACACACAAGTACACACATACAAGCAAGCACACACACACACTTATACAAACTAACTGTTACACCCACACTCAGGCACATATATACACGGAAACAAACACAAAACATACTCTCCTTCTTAATTTTCTATCCTCAGTGGTTGTAACACTATCTAGATCAATTGGCTACTAGATTTTGCCCCCATCCCCATTCCCACCCCCAATATCCATTAGTCCAACTCCATTTCCCTTAATAATTCAAACTTTAATAGATGTTTGTTAATTTTCTCAACATAAGAAAGATACTAAATTAGTCAACAAAGTGCCACAGATACGAAGCAAAGCTGGAGGTGGCAATACATACAGTCAGGGCAACCTTAGTGCATAAAAATAGTCTTATTAATATTACTCTCATTTTTATCCCAGCTGTCATGCTGAACACAACAGTCAAACTAACAAATTTAACCTCTGGCAGCACTCCAAGGAGATGAGTTTGTTTGGGTTTTTTTTTCCCACTGCTCCTTAGCCTTATTGAATCCTACACATGTAAGGTCATCGTCTAAAATTAGTTTTTTTTTCCACAATTAAGTCTGCCACCAGGGTGTGAGTGATGCATCGCCACCATGCTGTGAAGTCAACGATATAAAAGGCACTGGGTCAGTGATTGGTAGGTATGAGAAGAGCAAAAGAGCAAGATGCTACATCTTTCTTTTTTTTCCCCCAAATCTCCAGTTGCCCCGTTCCTTTCCTGAAGGCAAGGATACTAACAAGGTTAACTCAAAAGGTGAAATAAAAATTTGAACATAATATCGAAGGTTAACTCGAAAGGTGAAATAAAAAATTTGAACACAAGATGGTGTCCATTTAAGTCAGCTGTTTTACAGAGCAGGTGTTCCTTAGATTGATCTAGTGACACAGTAACCTAATGGTAAATGCAACAATCCCCCCCCCCATCCCCCCCATCACTATCTTAGCCCCTCCCCCACCTTACCCCTTAAAAAAAAGCTTTGTGTTCAAAAAAATTAATAAACTGTTATAAGCAGTCTTTTCTCCAATTACTCCAACTCATTTTTGTATAACTTGCTTCCTAAAAACTGTGCAATGTAACTTTTCAATACGAAAAAAAACAAAAAAAACATACTGATGTATTTTCAAGATGAAGAACCTGTAACAACTATAATATATATGTAAACCAGGAACCCAACTGATACCTATCTGGAACAAAAAAAACAATATTAATGCTGTGGTTTACCTGAAAGGTTGAAACAGCTGGCTAGAATTTCCCAGGTTTAAAATAGATGACTAAATTAACTGAGTGTGACATTTAAGGGGGTGAAATATGGCAAAAAAGAACATTACACAGTGTAATATCATCATGTGAGTTATTTTGCTCACAAACGGTATTCGCAATATGATTTACTTGAATTTATGGTGGTGACTGGTAAGTCAGAGTGTGTGGGAGGGGGTGGGTGAGGAGGGGGGAGGCGGGGGGGGGGGGGGTTAGATTCCCTTACAATATAATGTAATGTTATACAATGCAATGTAAAACTTATGATATACTAGTAAAAGGATGGGTATTTTGCACAACAACTAAATTGTTTGTACTTGTTTGTATTAGTAAACAATCATAAAATGGGCAGAGCATACCATGTTTACTGTGATTTATTATTTTAAAATGCTCAAGAAATTAATTTTTTCATAAAATTTTCTGAATTGTGAGTTTGATTTTGGATCAGAGTTTATTTTAATAAATACCATCCCAAAATGATAAAACGTAATGTATCACCAACACAGATCCTGCCTTCCCCCTGCTATCTTACCTTCCAAAAACAAACGTTAGACCATTCCCCAGTCTAAAGAATTCCAGTGTGAATGCACCTTATAACCCAACCCTTTTCAATGCCCAATTTCACTTCCCCCTCTGATATAAAAGGGATATTAATCGTCTACCTGTCCCATTCAATATGACATGAAGAACACCTCGGGTCAAATGTAGATGTATCCTGGTATTATACCCACATCAATCAGATATTACTTTGAACCAGACAGATCTCCATCCACCAAACATGGGTGTGGCGTGTTCACACAGACACAAAAAACAGGACCGATCCTCTCTGAAGCCTCGCTCTATATTAAACAATCTGCAAAAACGGATTCCACACACCGAAATATTGTTCAAGGGCTTTTTAGCAAATGAGAAATGGCTTTACCCATCAGAATGCTTGAAAACACCTTTTGATGGATCCAGAAACAAAGCAGAACAACTCCACCTAAACTGTGTGAACCCACCTTTGAGAAAAGTTACAAATATTAAACACACAGGCGTGAGTGAATCACGGGTCTTCATCAGCATTTCACCCAAAACAGAGACTCATCCTACTATTTTTAGAGTGTCTAAGAATTTCAGGAATACCTTCACTGGCATACATCAGTTTTACTATGTTGAGTGGGGGTGAAGTGAAATTCAAAGTAATCATTGCTTTGAATTCAGAAATTCCTATACTAGTACGTCTAGATTCTGGGAGAAATTCTACACTAACCAACTGATGAATCATGTGTTTAAGAGGAGTCACAGATCCACAGCAAATTCTTAATACTTTTGCCAAGCAAATTTCAAAGTAATCATTTCTATGGGAATTTGTTCAGCCTTCTTCCCAATCTCAACTATCTTTTCTCAAGAAGGCAATCTTTAACACCATCCCACGTCCACTTTGTTCAATCATCAAGGTATTACTAGTACCTCATCCATAGCAGATCTCTCCACACAAATGCCAGGACTTGAAAAACAATTTCTTTCTGAAATCTTTCTTTTGCTCTATTCCAATACCTTACCTACCTTGAAGAAAAAAAAACGTATAGATCTTCTACAAAAAAGTGACCACCATAACTGGGATTGGTCATATTGCAAGCAGTGTTATCAGTTCTCGACTGAACTAGCTCTGTATATAAATTTTCTACCAATCCTGATGTTCTGGAAATGAGTTGCCAGTAATTTCCATGTCGACAATGAGTTTAGGGCACCAAGGGCAGTTTGCACAAAAGAACTTCAGCCAAACATAGTATAAATTTCAGGCTGGCTAATTTATTTCACAAAGATCTTATAAGTAAACTTTTATAGTAAAATTAATTTCATTTGTAAAAATAACCAACCATCAACTTAGGGTGGAAATTTTAACTTGTCATTGTGCAAAATATGCTCGTTATGATCCTTTTTTATGTCACCCTCCCAAATTTCATCGAGATTCTTCTACTAGTAAGTCAGTTTGATAGACCCCTTCTTATTTAAATGCTCCTTAAGTAGGAAGTTAAATATAGCACAGAATAAACATACTTAGCAGTAACCACATTCCTGTCTTGATCAAACTCAGACAACACTGAAATAACTGATTTTTTTCCCTTGCAGGAAAACCACAGCTATGGTAACTCCTATGAAAATTTGACCCAACTGTTGATGAATTATAAAACACCCAACGTCATATCTTGGTGATAATTTATGAAAAATAGGATAACAAGGAAAAAGCTGCTTTCACGCTGAAAAGCAAAAATGACAAATCAAAACCAATGTGGTATTTGAAATTTTCTGAGCAAATACCGTACATTTATCCAAAGGACTTAACCTCATCATTGCATAAAATGGTTCAGAAATATGTGGAGGAGTGACTGAACATTATATAGGTTATACACACTGGCTACAAGTAGTCTTATATTGGCCAAAAAAACAAGCCCATTTCCAGTCCTGTTCCAATGCTTTAACTTTGTGCAGTTTCTGTCTCAACATCTGATAATAATTTCTAACCAAAGAAGGACACTTTAATTAATCCGTTGTCCCACATATCACCAATATCATTTATAGTGTTCACTTTTGTGCCCAACATGATTTTAGCTATTGTTGACATCAATGAAACCGTTTCTGGTTAAGGTTTAAGCATGTTTGGTTCTAAATTTGAACACGCCTTATCCAAACCCCAACACACCTTAAAAAGCACATCAGCTCAGATTGTCACGAGATCTTATTTTAGCAGCAAAACTTTCAAACACACCTTTCTTGATAAAAGTGAAAGTGTTTCAAACATAAAAACCAAGTCTTCAAATGTTCTAGCTCATTAATTTTTCTCTACTTCAAACATTTCAGCAACTTGGCTCAAAAATAATCCAACCAAAACATACAGTCAGGAAGATGCCCTTGAAAATAATGAGTTTTTTTTTTAAATTTGATTTTCATTTTATCAACCTGTTCCAAAAAAGTGACCACCTCCTTAACACTAAAGGAGGAATTCTCGGTAGGTTATCATTATTAGGCAGAAAACTCTTTAATTACTTCAAATCTTATCACAACTTCAAAGTTCCACTAAATACAAAAAGATAAATCTTAAAACAGTGGAAGGAGTGATTCCAAAGGGGATCGTGGTACATCCAAACAAGTATCTTATCAATCAGTCAAGAACCCACAGTGTACAATATTCATCCCTTATTCTAATCAAATCTGATTCATGGCATATCTGCTTCATCTGCTCAAGTTGTTTATCTCTGGTTACATGGGGTTGCGCATAAGGGTTTTCTAATAATATTGAAGATCTTCAATATATCATACAAGGCCATCTAGTGTATCAACAAGCACTCAATAACCGAAATAATTCCACACTTAAACTGATTTACACTCATCACTCCTCCTAGGTCATATAATGCCTGTTAGGTCTTTATACTGAGAAGTATACCCTTTAAAAAAACTGAGAAAGATTAGACATCCAAAATGGGTTTATAGTTTATAATTTTCACAGCAAATCTGGATGGAATAAGTCAATAAACTCTGTTGACTTTCACAAGAGATTTGGATACGAAATATAACTTGAGGTTAAGAAAAAATTTAGCAATTTCCAGGAAATTATCTCCTATAGATCTATACAAAGATTTAGCCCTTTACCTATTACCTTAGTCTGACACCATGCTGTTCCTAGTTTTGCAAAATAATTTGAGTCAAAATGTGGGTCTTACGGTACTTTCAGAACCCAATAATAATGTGAATCTACTTCAAAACCAGAATAATAAGTTCTAGCAATTAAAAACTACTACACTAACTCATCAGCTGTGCCTTCCCCTTGTCAAACAAAAGAGCTAAATATTCTCTTTTACCACTTCTACAGACATAAATTTGGTGATAACTAAGGATACACTTCAGCTTTAAAGTTAAAGCCAGCCTTTGAATTGAGCTTTTTGATGAATCCAGTGGTTTCCTAGTGGGGCAGAGGTTAAACCCAAGCACTTGCCAACTGGCCAAGTTCAAGTGCAATTCTGTACTCTGGCAAGTGATTTAACAGATTCAACAGATCCACTGACCAAGTTAAGCATCTCTATCTTCACATATTCAGTTGAATGAAGATCTAACTTTCTCATCTCAAAAAGGAGTGCACCCTTCTGTGCAACAAATTACAAATTTATTTATTTATTTATCATTGCTTAAAAAATAGTCATTTGATTATTTTAAGTTTTCATTTTTTTTCGATAATTTTCTATTCCTTTAGTAAGAAATTAATAATCAGATTAAAGCAACAATTGTACTTGTGACCACAGAATGATTTAGAAAGGATGTATATGAATGCAAAGTTAACATGGTTAAGCTTCTACATCTGATTCCAACTCCGCTATATTTCTCACCTCATCTCATTATTTTTACCTCTAAGTATAACGCAGCTGCTATATTTTTAGTCATAATTTCCAAATTACAACACTCCTACTGAGTGGTAGCAACAAAATTAAAAAGGCTATTATTGAGTTCTATTCTACGCAATAAAAGCACTAAAAATGCTATAAAGCAATATGATTTTTGTGATTATAAAACTGTGCATCTGAAAATTTGATAATTGCCCATTGAAAGATAAAGTAATTACCATAATAATTTTAACCCAGTTTTTTCTAAACATGAACATAACCAATCTTTTAACTTACTTCTTTTCAAATGTTAAAACCACTTCATTGTTCAGAACATCTTTGACAAATCCCTGAAATTACAAAACAAAGCTTAAATTGACATAAAACTTTAAGGACATACTAGTATGCATGTCAGATCCAGTTAAACAAAAGACTTATCAAAATGTAGAATATTCAAATTCAATCTGTCAGAAAAATAATTACACTAAATTAAACTACCCACTACATCAAATGACAAAATTTGAAGGTCAAAGTCTTATATTTTCGAAGCATAATTAAGCTTAATAAAGAACATTCTTTATAGGTTCATTAACTAAATCATAAAAATTACTTAACATGAATCAAAGGTGGATCAAGGGGGTGGGATGTCACATCAGGGAGGTTCCTCCCCCTTAGCTTCAAGGGTATGCCTTTCCCCCCAATATATTGAGTGAAAGAAGACAAAACCAAACAATTCACCACCTATGTCTGTGTACACACAAACTGATTTTTTAAAAACATTGCATCTGTTAATGTTCACCCTGCTTCAAAATATTCTTCAACCTTGTGCCCCAACCCTCTCACAAAACCTTGGATATTCCTGTGCAAAAGCAGAACCTTATTGAGATTGCAAGAATTTTTTGGTACATTTTGGGCAAAGCAAGATAGTTCTTTATCAACTCTTTATGGAAAGGCTGAAGGACTTTTTTGACAAGTGGGATTTGTAAACCTCCAAACCACTTGCAAGAGTAATAAGTACACTACCACTGGTCAGCTGGAATGTGGAATCTACTTATCATATTTCTGCAGTGTATCTTTCTGTAAATGCAAACGTCATCAAACGTCCAACTGTGACATTTGACAGTTACTAGGAATAAATGAAAGTGAAACCAAACTAAAATTGTCACACTGTAGTCTAAAATGACAAATCGGCATTTATCTAATGACCATAAAAACATCGCCCAAATGAGCAACGCATTGCAAGAAATGACTTTGAAACTCGACTTTGGTGAGTCAGTGAGTCACCTTAATTTTGTTGATGGAAAGCAAAACGCCGCATTAGCCGCGATAACCAGTTTTCTGCAAAAAAGTATTTAGCCTTTGTCAAAACAAACCGATAAAGAAAACAAAATTAAGAAAAAACTTTTCTAACTAACACCAGATAATGAGCTTCAGTCTTCTCTTTTAACGGGTTAGCGATATTTTTCAGGCCCAGTACTGAAATCACATAGAAAATTACCTTATAATACACGCCGTTCGGAAAGCGCACCTCCACTTCTAACTCCTCCATCTTGCATGCATTGCATGCTGGGAAAATTATAAACAACAAAGGTGAAATATTTTTATTTATGCAACTTTTTTCCTAACTTTATTTCATCTCTCCATCATTTAGGATAGCAATAAATGTTTTATGAGTTAAAGTACTCAAATAATTTCACATATTTGTTTTTGTTTTGATCTCCCTGTTACGTTGTCTGAAACCAAGATGGAGGTAGAGGGCGGTGTATTAATTTCTGTCATGCAGTTTTCTTCTATTTAACCGCGAACCGAGGGACAATTTTAGTGCAAAATAGCATCATGTCATCAGACAGTGAGTTGGACGAGTTTTACGATGCAGAAGAGGACACTCCTGTCAAGTTTGTGAGGTAAGTGGCNGTTCTATTCTACGCAATAAAAGCACTAAAAATGCTATAAAGCAATATGATTTTTGTGATTATAAAACTGTGCATCTGAAAATTTGATAATTGCCCATTGAAAGATAAAGTAATTACCATAATAATTTTAACCCAGTTTTTTCTAAACATGTACATAACCAATCTTTTAACTTACTTCTTTTCAAATGTTAAAACCACTTCATTGTTCAGAACATCTTTGACAAATCCCTGAAATTACAAAACAAAGCTTAAATTGACATAAAACTTTAAGGACATACTAGTATGCATGTCAGATCCAGTTAAACAAAAGACTTATCAAAATGTAGAATATTCAAATTCAATCTGTCAGAAAAATAATTACACTAAATTAAACTACCCACTACATCAAATGACAAAATTTGAAGGTCAAAGTCTTATATTTTCGAAGCATAATTAAGCCTAATAAAGAACATTCTTTATAGGTTCATTAACTAAATCATAAAAATTACTTAACATGAATCAAAGGTGGATCAAGGGGGTGGGATGTCACATCAGGGAGGTTCCTCCCCCTTAGCTTCAAGGGTATGCCTTTCCCCCCAATATATTGAGTGAAAGAAGACAAAACCAAACAATTCACCACCTATGTCTGTGTACACACAAACTGATTTTTTAAAAACATTGCATCTGTTAATGTTCACCCTGCTTCAAAATATTCTTCAACCTTGTGCCCCAACCCTCTCACAAAACCTTAGATATTCCTGTGCAAAAGCACAACCATATTGAGATTGCAAGAATTTTTTGATACATTTTGGGCAGAGCAAGATAGTTCTTTATCAACTCTTTATGGAAAGGCTGAAGGACTTTTTTGACAAGTGGGATGGTTAAACAACCAAACCACTCGCGTGAGTAATAAGTACACTTCCACTGGTCAGCTGGAATGTGGAATCTACCCATCATATTTCTGCAGTGTATCTTTCTGTAAATGCAAACGTCGTCAAACGTCCAACTGTGACATTTGACAGTTACTAGGAATAAATGAAAGTGAAACCAAACTAAAATTGTCACACTGTAGTCTAAAATAACAAATCGGCATTTATCTGATGACCATAAAAACATCGCCCAAATGAGCAACGCATTGCAAGAAATGACTTTGAAACTTGACTTTGGTGAGTCAGTGAGTCACCTTAATTTTGTTGATGGAAAGCAAAACGCCGCATTAGCCACGATAACCAGTTTTCTGCAAAAAAAGTATTTAGCCTTTGTCAAAACAAACCGATAAAGAAAACAAAATTAAGAAAAAACTTTTCTAACTAACACCAGATAATGGGCTTCAGTCTTCTCTTTTAACGGGTTAGCGATGTTTTTCAGGCCCAGTACTGAAATCACATAGAAAATTACCTTATAATACACGCCGTTCGGAAAGCGCACCTCCACTTCTAACTCCTCCATCTTGCATGCACTGCATGCTGGGAAAATTATAAACAACAAAGGTGAAATATTTTTATTTATGCAACTTTTTTCCTAACTTTATTTCATCTCTCCATCATTTAGGATAGCAATAAATGTTTTATGAGTTAAAGTACTCAAATAATTTCACATATTTGTTTTTGTTTTGATCTCCCTGTTACGTTGTCTGAAACCAAGATGGAGGTAGAGGGCGGTGTATTAATTTCTGTCATGCAGTTTTCTTCTATTTAACCGCGAACCGAGGGACAATTTTAGTGCAAAATAGCATCATGTCATCAGACAGTGAGTTGGACGAGTTTTACGATGCAGAAGAGGACACTCCTGTCAAGTTTGTGAGGTAAGTGGCTCTTGAACATGTGGGTTGTATACTGTGTTTATTTCCAAGATGTTTGAAACTAACTTCAGGTATAGTGAAAATAGGCCACGAAAAGTTAGCCGGGACTGCAGTTGTAGAAGAAGAGGTGTGCTATTAATAGGCCCAGCATTTTAATATACATAGTGTTCTCTATTATTTTTATTATTATTAGTGGAGCCTATAACAAAGATGACGATCTAGAGAAAGAGGAGAGACAGCTTCTAGAATTGAAGAGATTGGCAGAGGAAAAGTATGTAAAAACAAAATAAAAATTCTCTGTTAAGTTTTGTTTTAAGAAATTTACTAATTTAGAGAGTGACAGATTTTTTTAAACAAGAAAATGTGGTGGCACAAGTTATGCAGTGTTTGAAGTAACCTCTGAAATTCATGCCCAAAGTTGCTAACTTTTGTCATCAAATTAATCTATTTCTAACACAAGCGTGTATCCTAAGATGATAGACAAAGACATATTTGATATTTTTTCCAGACGAAGACAAGAAGATGAAGAATTGCAAAAACGACTGGCTGATATTGAGAAAAGAAAGGAGGAACAACTGCGTTTGGTGAGCAAAGAATGTCCAGAAAAGTAAACTGTTTTAGTCAAATACCCTATTATATGACAACTAGTAAGCCACAGTGGAACTTTGCCACATCCTTTGATAACATTCATTTCTCTAACATACACATTTCCACCTTTAATCAAATTTTGTTGAATTTCAGGAAGCAGAGAAGAGATTGGAATTAGAAAACAAAAAGAAGAAACTAGAAAAGATGAGAAAACTTATGCACCAAGAAAGCACACCATTTTCTACTCCATCCAAAGAGGAAGAAGGTGAAGGTGAGGTCAAGGATACTCAGAGGTCAACTGAAACAGAGGAAGCTGCAGTGGCTATCCAAACTGAACAAATTGGAGGTGGAATAGATGACACAGCTGAAAAGAGAAAAGAGATTGTGATGGACATACATAAAGGGTTAAGTGATGTACAGGAAAAAGTTGAATCTGTGATACATGAACTTACAAACAATTTGGATTTGACAGGTCATGGTGATGGGTCAGGTCAAGGTCATGAGTCGGGTCAAGGTCATGGTGACACTGGTGGTTCAGGCTTTTCGAATTTTTCCCCAGACCTGAACTCGATGTCTGCCCAAGGTGATGATGTAAATCTTGACAGTCAGACTCGAACAGTGGAGAAAAACTCCGCTAAGAATAAAACCATACCTCACATCAGACATACAGGAGCAAGCACAGCTGATGGTGCCAAAAGAGGCACATGGCCGAAGCAGGGTAGTTACGGAGGCGGAGGAGGCGACAGAGTCCGCATAGATTCAGACTCAGAAAACGAGCCAGATATTGTGAGGAGCACCAAGCACCGTTCTGCAGTTGAAATGCCAGCACCAGTGGCTCCACCTAGGAGAAGGAAAAAAATTAAGAGCATGGCGGAAGAGGTTGTAAGTTTGGAGGTGTGACCTAATGTCCTTGAAGTTTGGTATAATTGTAACATGATTGAATTTTTTATTACTCCTAAGGACTAGTTCACAAAAAGGACTGAGGTCACTGAAAAGTAAATAAAATTTTAATTTAATTGATTTTATATTTGATTTAGCTTTATCAGTGCACGCCACTGGCCCTTTTAGAGTTATCATTCTATTCATTACAAAGTTTTTACTGTTTCAGTCTTTAACACCAACTCCACCAGAACAGCCATCCGGGCTCCCGAAGAGCACCCCTCAAGCCACGCCTACGATAACCCCTACATGTTCGGTGGAGAACCTCACCAAAGCACTGGACCATTGTCTGGATTTGAACAGTGCAGTGCAGGGAGATAGACATGTCACCACTATGGTAAGTTAAGATTACACCTTGTAGTCACTGTCATTGTTGGAGTAGGAGTTGATAGAAGTGGTAGTAGTTGGAAGTAGTGGTGTGGTAGTTGTAGTAGTAGAAATATAAGTGGTAGTACTGTAGTGGTAGTAGCAGCTGCAACAGTAGCCATAGTTATAGTAACAGTACAGGTAGGGGTAGTAACAATAGTAGTAATTATTGTAGTATCAGAAGTGGGAGTAGTAATAGGAGTAGCAAAAGTACAAGTAACAGCTGTATTTAGTAGTTAAAGTGTTTGTAATAGGATGGTTGGATAGTTAGATGAATTAGTAGCAGATGCTGCAGTTCGAGTAGGAGGAGTGCTTTACAAAGGATTGAAATTAATAAATTTGTATTTTTGAGATGCCCAGTTGCTGGTTTGTATTTTCGGCATTGGTTTTCCATTTGCTGGAAATTACATATGAATGTGAACCTGACTTTTATGGAACCTTTAATTAGGGGAAAATGATTTATTTTATATATTAAATTAAATTATGTTGAAAATTGGCTCATAGATCTATTTAGAAAGCTGCTTTGTAGGTTGTAAGTCCTTCGGTCTATTATGGTGTTTAATCATGAGCTTGACTGTTCTCCTGCTTGATAAGTATTCTCGCCATTTCTCCACAACCAACAACCCCTTCTTCTGCAGGCTCTGGATGCACACGCTACCAAAGGGGAGGGTGAAGCACTGATGACTCCGCCCACTGCGGAAGAGACTCCGCCCCCCTCTAGTAACATCATTCCAGACTCCTCCCAGGCTCCACCCACCCCTTCTTCAGGCTCCTCCTCTGTACCACAACCAGATGTTGAGGTGAAGGATGATGAAGGAAAAGAAAAGCAAGGAGCCTATGACATTGAGATTGCGCCAGGGCCAAGACCAAGGTCAAATTCTGGAAGACTGTTGTCTGACAAGGTGGGAATTTGCCATGGGTGTACTGTGTGTATATATATATCACTATTTGTTGAAGAGATGTTAATTGTCTCCAGAGAGAGTTAACATGTTTTTATCTACAAAGCATGACTTTTGGAGCCTTCATCAAATCACCTTGGGTCATGACTAACTTTAAGGAATACGCTTATAGCTTTGAATGACAAAGATAACTTTATCTTTTTCTATTTTCTCTCATTTTAAAGACTCATCCAGGTAGTAAATATGAATGACTTCACTCTCATTTACATGAACTGATATTAAGTATGTAATTGATGCCAGCAAAAATTGTCTTTCTATCAGGAAATCTTGGACTCTATCATCATCCGTAACCTGGACACAGGAGAGAGCCTTCCTCTGAGTTTGGCTGAGGAACAACTTCCACAGGGCACCAACCCCCTAGCCTTGCACATCATGAGAAGAACTAAGGAATATGCAAGGTAGGGATCTTATCATTCAGTTTTAGTTGACTGAATTCTTACTAGTAGTTCACCACCTTCCTTCATTCTCTCTCTCTCTCTCTCTCTCTCTCTCTCTCTCTCTCTCTCTCTCTCTCTCTCTCTCCACTTCTTTTTCACTGTGTCATTTCTCTACATTTTAAAGAGCAACACTTTTAGTATTGCAAAGTATTGAAGAAGATATCTCTCTCACACAGGCAAAAATGTTATTTCTCTCCACTTTTTTTCACAGTGACAGTAGTCTAGAAGGTAAAGAGCGTCACCCAACAGACGAGGTGGACGCAGGACCCAAGTCTGTACAGGCAGTGGCCCAACAAGCCAGCGCGGGAGTCAAGAAAACGTGTGTATCTTTTATGTTATACTAAAAGGATGCATACTTTAAGTAGTAGTTTTTGCATTTTATACCGTTACTAGTTTTCACACATTTCAGTTATATTTTCAAATTGTAAAAAGTCTCAAATAAGTATTTTTTCATAAAAAGTCACTGAAAATTGTGAAAAATGAATAATAATAATGATAATAATATGTATTATTATTATTAGTTAAGGTAATGTATTTGATTTATTGATTTTGATATATTTATTGGACAATTACCTTTTTTAGGGGCACTAGACTCAAGAAATTGTTTGGCAAAACAGTCAGCAAGATCAAATCTGTAGCAGGTAAGTAGTATAAAAGTTTTTTCTCTCTTTTTTCTGAGCATGCAGGGAAATGTGATTGCAGCATTTTGTCTGTGCTCTCTGGAACACTTTCTCTTACTTTTTCTTCAGTATACTGCTAAGAAATATAACATTTAATCTCTTATTAAATGGTTGCTTTGCCTTCTGAGCATATTTGTTCAAAAATCAGGATTAGTGTTACAGTTGTGTTTATGCTTCCTCTGGACCCCCCATAGAGAGCTGCACACTATCAGTGCTTGAATTTTCCAGAATTTCCTTTAATGGGTCTGCTCATCAAGGGATTTAAATAAATAATTGCTTTGTGACATGAATTTATAATATTGTGACAGTCTTTTTCATCTTTTCTCCCCCAGGAGGAAACCACGATGACAGCTCTAGTGACGAAGAAGTCAGTTTAGATGGCAAAAAGTTTGTAAAGGTACAGCAGTTTTTGCCAAATCTGAACTTTCAATAAGAATATCTCGGGTTTATCCTAAATTCCATACTGACATACACAGAGAGATTTGCAGTTGAAAATAATTATGATACAATGAAAGAAAAATAAGTTGTAATATTCACTTATATGTATCTGTAAGAAAAATCCTCAAAGAAAAAATCAACTCTATCTATATTTGATAAGCATTTAAATTCTGTGATATTATTACTACCATGCTGCTCTTTCTGTGGAACTTTACAGGGTGCAGTTAGTCAGGTAAATAAGTATGTTGTTTTGATTAAAAATCCCAGTTTAACACCTGGTAAAGACAACGCACATCCTTGATGAAAACATTTCTTAAGTGTTAGCCTTAACCTTGAGAATGTTACTTAATCTGGTTATGGTATATGATTGATGGATTTTGCTCTCTTTTCCCCCCCCCCCCTCCCCCCCACCCACCCACCCACCACCACCACCACCACCACCACTCCCTTTTGTAACAGTGGTGTTGGTAATGTATTTTTGAAGGTGGAGGGGGGCAAGATTACTTGTTAAGGGGGTGTTTTTGGTGGAGGAAAAGGAAACATTTATAAAAGTGACAAAACTGATGATGTTGGAAAGAAGTTAATAAAAAGTCCTTAATGAGCTGGGGTAGCGCTAACACTCGCCAATTTAGCCAAATGCTAAAACTGACTTAAATTGGCTAAAGAAAAAGGGCTTGATTTGACTTGTTTTAGCCAAATTATAACATTTTGATAACAAATTGACAAAAATGTGGTGATTTGGCTAGGCGAAAAAAATTGCTAGCGCTACCCCAGATGAGCATGTACTTGTTTGAAGGAAAAGGGAAAACAACACTGCCTGTTAGAACCCAAAAACTTCTTGTCCAGATTTTCCTGTATTTAATTAGGGTGTTTTAAATGTTTTCTATTTCCCTTAAAAACCAATTTATTGATATTGTTACTAGACTAGGCTTGATATAGGTTTCATTTTCGTTTACTTTGAAAACATTTTGTACATCTTTATTGCCATACTCTCCTGTAACTTACTTCATTGTAGTTTTAAGTTCACAAAAGTCAGTCTTTGTTGTCCAAGGCCCACTTAAAGATACACAAGACTTTTAAAAATAGACTAAGTACAATTTTTGTATAGCACTGGCCCACTTTTGAACCGTGATTGCCTGAGTGGCTAGTAGATAAAAAAAGTTCATGTCACAAACTGATTTTGTTTGTTTATTGGTTTGTTTGTCTGTTTATTTATTTATTTATTTAAGTTCATTTTTATGTTGTAGGTGAAGGCGTCTGGTAGCAACAAGGGACCATATGACTTTGCTCAGCTGAAGATGTGTCAGGATTTGAGTGGGGAACATGTGGTACGTACACATCTGTCAACTCTGACCCAGAGTTCTTGTTTTGAAAGACTAAAGTCCCCTTCATAATGGACAGCATCTTTTCTGCGTCCTGTTGTACGACCCCATTAAGAAGTCAAAAAAATTAATAAACTGACAACTGGCGATCATTGAGAATTCATTCTGCAACCAAAGTGATGCTTGTGCCTCCTTTCCACTGTAATGCCAGTTTCGTGGTCGCAAAAAGGACACTGTCCAGTGTAAAGAGGGTTTAAGTCTGATCAACTCAAATTTATCGTGTCTACAAGTGACTAGTGTCTATCAGTGATTTATGGTCACAAATTAACTGGCGTAGCTAAGGTGAAAGGTTGGATTATTTAGCTGCAAGATAAGAAATGCAAAGACAATTCCTTGGTGTTGTCAGCAATTTTTCATGCTCTCCAACTATCACTATGCAGAGTGTTATACATCATAGTTGTGTGTTCCATTCTAGGGAGCAGTTTGGATTATGAAATTCTCTCACTGTGGAAGACTTGTGGTAAGCTATTGTTTTAATGCACGTGTGCACCTATTAAAGGGGAGACATATAGGAAAATTAACACCTATAAATGGAAAAAGTATTTGTGGGAAAGTACAAGCTTGTGCTTTTCACCTCTGGATGTCACATCATGTTGTTTACATTATTAACCAGGATCATAAATCTATTTCAGTCTTATTACATTGCTTCTCTGTGAAACCCCTGCTATGTCAGATTCATCATCATGAGAGGTTTTGATTTACTCTTTCAAATTTAATTATGAATTGCGTATCCCCTCCTGGGTTAACATTTCTGGGTCAGTTGAGTCAATAATACTTGACCTTCACTTAACCTTGACCTTGATCTTTGCAGGCCACAGGTGGGCAGGACAACATACTGAGAGTTTGGGTCCTGAAGAACTCCTTCGCCTACTTTGATGATATGAGGCAGAAATACAGTGAAGGTAAATTTTAATGGAATTCAAAATTAATGTAATTTTGACATTAATCTAAAGTGGTGTTTGGTGGTAATTCAGGTGCTTCGGTTGAGAATTTTTATTTATTTTTCCTCAGTAGACTCATATGAACAAGAAAATGATACCTGTGAATAAACTTTCCACTGCTTAGGTCAGGGTCTTTGAAAAATCAAGCCTCAGGTTTTAAACTAATTTTGTTTCCTATTTTTGGTATTAGCAAGTGCAAGCTTGCTCCATGGGATGAGAGGTATGTGCATAGTTACTGAGGCCTGGAGGAGTTTTTCTCCATATTTTGCTATATTTGAGGCAAAAATACTGATAAAATTGCTGAAAAAGCTGCTTGAATTTACTAGTGTTTTGAATGTTCATCATTGCATGGATGGATTTTTTATTTGAGATTTGACATATTTGAATTACACCGCTTGTTTTACAGACATATACCAAATAGTTTTTAAAGAATTGCTTTTAATATTTTTTAGATCATGTTATCATCTGTTGTAATTTGTTATTTAATACAAAATAAAGATAACTGTAATTCACCATTCTGTTACAACATGCATGGATTTTAAGGCATGTTGCTGTTGTTGTTGCAGTTTTGTTTCGCTGTGTTGAAGTCGGCTGCTACTAAATGAATACACTAAAAGTAGAGACCTTTTATAATGAAAACCTTTTAAATGAAAAAGTAAATTACTGTTGTACTATGTTATAAAACAGCTGTAAATATTATTATATAACTAAGTCAGCCACTATCAAGTGTGTCCATATGTAAGTTCGTCAGGCAGATCAGTTTGGTAGATTTCGATAGTGAATTTGAGATTGTGGTTGCCTTTATATTAATATAAGATTTATCAGTAATGATATTACTTTCCATCTCTGTTTCAAGTTTTTGTGTGCCAATAGGCAGGTTTATCAGACATGGTTGATTTTGATGAAAGGTGTACGTTGTATAAAAATGGTAGCACAAGTATAATACTCATATGAAAAAACGGTATTAATAGTATACATATATCTTTATTGGTTGTTTATGGTTGTAACCAGTTGTTGTTGGTGTTATTGCTGTTATTATTATTATTATTGTAAAAATATTATTATTATTATTATTCTGACTATTGAAATAAGTAAAAATAAAAAATGTGTACATATTATTATAATTATTATTATTGTCGTTTTTGTTGTTGTTGTTGTTGTTGTTATTATTATTATTATTATTATTATTATTATTATTATTATTATCATCAATGCTATTTCTCTCTCCCAGCCAAGGTGTCTCCAGCCCCGTCCCAGGAAAGTCTGGACTCCGTACAGTCTGCTGACGCACAGACAGAACCAGGGGTGAGGTGTACTTTTACCAAATAAGCTCCATCATTGTTCAGAGGATGCATTAAAAGTGCTTTACTGTCACAGAATTAGTTAAAATGGTGTAGTTGGTTTGACGTTCTGGTGTGAGAGGATTTGTTTGAAATACTTCGAGCATTTTATTAGTTTTCTTGGGGGTTCTTGAGGAATTTGAATATCTTGATGAATGTATTTTATATTCAAAGTATGCATCTGTTCACTGTTCTGCTTTTGTAAAGAAATATCTAATAGTTTGTCACATTATTGATTGTAAAATATAGTAAAGGGCACTAGCAATACAATTATATAAACATTCCAATATGGGCACTATGGGCTGGAGGCCTAAAATTCCTGAATAAATTTGTTTGTTGTCACATTATTTATTGTAATGTGGTTTTTCCTCCATCATAGGCATGTGGAACTACTGGTACAGAAGAGGAGGAGGAGGAAGAGGATGCCCCCTTCATGAAGAAGCCATTGTGTACATACAGAGGACACTCTGGGGATGTGCTGGATCTCTCCTGGTCCAAGGTGGGTGGTGCTGGGCCTCGTTTTTTTCTTTAGAAATTTTATTTATTTACTTTATGATAAAGTGTGGACGTGTTGTTTAGTCTGTACAGCAGTTGAAGTAATGCTTATGAATTCATACACATACACTTTTTACATCTGGTGTACACAATCTCACTATAACTTCCCTCCATTCATTGCTTCAGTTCTTCTGAAACAAGGAGTTGGGTATTGAAGAATTCTCTCTCTCAGAAGCACGCACACATGCACACACACACACACACACACACACACACACACACACATAAAAACATTCGCACACAATATATGTAAATTTTTTTATCATTTTCAGAATTACTTCATCCTCTCCTCATCCATGGACAAGACAGTGAGATTATGGCATATCTCCAGAAGGGAGTGCCTCTGCTGCTTCCAGCACATAGACTTTGTGACAGCTATTGTATTTCATCCCAAGGTTAGTGTCACAGGAGATGGGGTCTTAGGTTTAATCAAACCCTTAGAATTAAATCAAACAAAAGTCATGATAAGTAATTTTTTTCATCAAACCATATAATTATACCAATAGTAATATAGTTCATCAAAAAGCACTGAAAGTAATGAAATATTACCAACTTTTTTCTCTATTTCTCAGGATGACAGGTATTTCCTCAGTGGCTCTTTAGACGGCACATTGCGCCTCTGGAACATCCCAGACAAGAAGGTCGCCTTGTGGAATGAGGTCAGCGGACACACTAAGCTCATCACTGCCGCCAATTTCTGTCAAAATGGAAAGTTTGCGGTGGTGGGGACATACGACGGAAGATGCATATTTTATAGTACTGATGTAAGTTATTACAGGTACACCATGAGAGTGGACCTTAATGTAGCAAAAAGAAATGATGTGAGTTTTTACTGAATCACCAAGGTATACCCAGGCTATTAGAAACTGTCGAGAAAATTACGATTTGTAAATCCACTTTTAATTAAAGGATTAGGGTTAAAATGTTCACTGTTATGAGTGAAATTCACCAATTCCCATTTCTAAAATTTAATGAGGAGACTCAGCATCTTTTTTGTCAAGGAGCCTGGTTTCAAACATTTCATTTGATACCCAAAAAAAGTTTCATACAAACAATTTTGGGGTTCCTTCTATTTTACAAGATTACAAGATTTCACATCTATTTCAATTTTCACTCCAGCAATTGAAATACTACACGTTAATTCACGTGCGTTCAACACGGGGTCGTAACGCGAGAGGAAGAAAAATCAGTGGCATTGAGCCAATGCCAGGAGAGGATAAAGTGCTGGTCACTTCCAACGACTCCCGCATACGCCTGTACGACCTGCGCGATCTTACGCTCACATGTAAATACAAAGGATGTGCCAACACAAGCAGTCAAATCAAAGCTGGGTTCAGGTATGGCGAGACATTATTATATTTCATTGGCAGATCTAAATTTTGGCTTCGGGGATGGGGTAATGGAAATTAAGATTTTTTAAGTACAAAGGAAATGTAGGAAACGGGGATGGAGAAGACACTTGTTTTTTGTCTTGTTTTGCCTTCAACTTTTTTGGCAAGGAGGAGAAGGGGCAGAGAAAGTAATTTAAAAAAATCTTTTGTGTCCATTCAAAAAAAACTGCTTGTATTTTGACAATGAAATAAGGGCTCAATTTCTGTTTCAGTCACAATGGAAAGCACATTATTTGTGGCTCTGAAGATCAGTTCATCTACATCTGGAAGACCCAGCATGAATTCCACAAGTTTTCATCCGCCAGAAGAGACAGGAATGACTTCTGGGAAGGAATTAAAGGTATAAATGGTTTTGAACACTAAAGAATGGAAATTGAGTTCCGTACTAGACACTCTGCTGTACATGGAATGAGGACCTATATCTCATCTATATTCCGTAGATTCTGACTGAGCTGATTATCACTGTTTTTGAATCTCAGTCATCTCCAGAAAATGGCATTTTGATTTTAGAATTCAGATTCAGTGCATGTTCAAATCACTGACTTTGTTTTTTCCAGCTCACAACGCTGTGGTCACGGCAGCCATATTTGCTCCTAATCCATCTCTCCTACTTCCCCCCACTGAGGAAGCTACAGACACTCCACCTGGTGATCACCAGAAGAAAGATGGCAGCCTCAAGAGGGCAGATGCTGCGTGCGGTGATGTTTTTCTCTCTGCAGACTTCACTGGTGCTATCAAAGTATTCACAAATCATATAAAACGCCAGTCATCCTCGACATCTTTGGTGTCTTCGGGGTCACTGAGATAGCCACCTTTATGAAAAGTCTAAGGTGTTTGTAAAATGTGATATATATATAAAGGAAATTTGATAGATGTTTACAGATATACACAATCTCTTGGGTGTAAACAGTAAAAAACAGTAAAAATAGATATAGCTGCAGTGTGTGCCCAGTAAGAGCTTTTCCGTGTGCCTCTCTCAACTCCTGTACTCAAGTTTGGCTGTAACATTTAAAAGGCTAATATGAGTACTGCTTTATTTTGAAGATCCTGAGTCTCTTATGCCATGTTTCCATCCAAAATGAGTTAACCTAGCTTCAAATTGGTCCGATTACTATGATATATTGCAGGGAGCCAGTCTAGGTTCTTGCCTTACGAAGGTTGTAGGTGGAGTGGATAACATTTTTTAACAACCTTACATGATTTTTTGGGATAGGCTGTACCAAGATAGGTAGATCCAACTTGAATGGAAACTTGGCCATTAAGTGACTTTTATGTTATCTCTGTGTTAGACATTTTGCCATTTAGAATATGTATTGATGCTGAAACTTTCAGTTGTATAAATAAGATCATATTAAAAATTGGAGTTGGATAGTTTGAGGGCTTTCAATGTTTTTTAACTGCAATTTTATTAATATTTCGTCAAATCAGGACTAAGGAAAAATGCAGCCCTTGAGATTCTGTTGGTAAAAATTCTTACAGGATTTTGCAAAGACAATATTTTTACTTCTGAATCAGTTGAAGGTGATTTAAGCAAAAATGACGTTGGGGAATTTAGTTCATTTAAAGATTTGTTCAATTTTCTCCCTCCCAGTCAGTGACAAACTTGGCAATTCATATATCATGAAGATCAAGTAATTTCTCCTTAACAGTCAACTGAGTACTTTGGCCTTGTATCAAATCAAGTGTTTTCAGCAAATCGTACAAACTGCATTTTACTATTATGTATAAATATTTCTGATGCCAAGTTTTAAGGGAAAATGCTAATAAAATCATCCTGAATAAAAAAAACCTTGTGAACCATTGGTTCAATTAAAAATTCGAATTTTTCATGCTTCACAATTTTGTGTTCTTGCTGTGTTCTCAGCATCTTAGATCAAGACAGTATTTTTGATGATCAGCATAAATTATGGAGATCAAATAATATCATTTATATACCAGGATAATACATATTATTAAGTACATTTTACTTTTCTGTTTTTATTGATACAGATCATGTGCTTCACTGGAATTATTTATTTCTTCCTCCAGTCAAAGGTAAAATATAATTGTAATTGGGAGAACTTTGTGTACTGCTTCTACTTTTGTGTTATGCAACAACTGTTCTTTTGTTTAAGAGATATTAACATTGAGATGCAAACTATACATTTCATTATATAAGGCCATATGTATCTATGTAATTATTTGTATGAAATTTAAGCTGAAGTAAATCAAAATTAGAGCAAAGATGTTTGACATTTCTTATATTTTGTTCAATGTCATGTCTCTTTGATTTGTACAATTCTTTGTTTACATTTTTAGCATACTTTACGAGTGCACAATAGCACAAGTAGATGCTCCTTACTAGTATCCAATTCTCTCTCTCTGTCGGTGTGTGTGTGCGCGTGTTCATACAATTATTTTAATTACAAAGAGCTTGAAAATTGTTAAGATACACTCAAGAATAAAAAAATATAAACCCTAACACGGTTTGAAGTTGAAAGACAACTAAAGTAAGGGAATGTTTATCACTCACAATGTTAGCATTTTATTTTCTTGGAGATTAACATAGGATACACAAAATCTGAATAAAAAATTAACAGTGATAATAATTTTCTCTGATACAATAATAACTTCAAAAAACATCTCTCACCAAAAGAATTAAAATAGTTATAACAATTGTACACAAAGATAAAATATAAACCAAAATCATTACTTATAATGCATTAAAACAGATGTATTTCACTAAGGACAAAGAATGTTACTAATGTAGGTATTTATTTAAGTTTTATCTGCACAAATGCAGTGATGCTTGATATAGAATTTACGATAAGCTTTTCTTTTTACATATTATTTTTATGCCTTTGACATTTTTATAGAGGAACTATGGAACATATCTTAAATGGTATAGATGAATTAGTAGAACAAAGATGTAGACATTGATTTTGCATTTAAATATTGAAATTTTTGTTGAAAACAATTTTAGTAGCTGTGCTATGTGCTAAAAAGATTTTTTCTCTTATTTGGCTGTTGCTACTGAGACACAGAATGTTTAGAACATCAACAGCCATAATTGCAAGATGGTGGTATGATGACTTCTCTTGTCTCTCCCCTGATGGTGTAATTTTCAGGATCATTGAAACATGGTAGCATTATACACCAAAGCTGTCAAAAATGCAGACACATATATGAAATATAAAACATCCAAAACCCTCAGGGAATATAGATTTTGATTTAAAATTCAAAATGCTTATGAAAACATGAAAATTACAAATGATAACCTCTTGTTCAAAATTGAAACAAACCATGTGGTAAAGAAACAAATATGTCGATCGTCAATTTACGATATTTTAACTATTGCTAATGAGTGGAATGCTTAGAACTTCAACAGCCATAGTCACAAGATGGTGGAACAATGACTTCTCATGTCTCTCCCCTGATGGTGTAACTTTCACGATCATTGAGACATGGTGGCATTACACAGCAGGGCTGTCAAATATACAGACACATGAAAGAAAGTGAAAACCTCTCCCAACCCAAAGGGAAATATTGTTTTAGTTTTAGCTTGTCAAAAATTAAATTATAATTCAAAATATGAAAACCATGCATGTACTTCTCAGACCCAAAAAACGAACTAGAAAAATTCTGTAAAATTTGAAAGAAAAAAGTACAAATTGATTGTTAATCCACTGTTGAATATTTTACCCCATAATTATCACCAAATATCCCTTACCCTATAAAAAAAAACACCAAAAACCCCTTACCCTTTATAAAAAAAAACACCAAAAAGCCCTTTACCCTTTAAAAACCCACCAATAAACCCTTTACCCTATAAAAACCCCAGAGAAAAAATCAGAGATTTAGTTGGCAAGTTTACGGGCATATTTCATCCACGCCAGGGACTACCGATCTTACAACTTTTTACAGTGTGCCAGAGGATCGTATCCAACTTTGCAAATCTCATACTCCCACCCTAACCCCCCCCCCCCCAAGTCAAAAGAAAAAAAAAAGAAAAGCAAAGAAAATATAAAAATTAAAAAAAAAAAAGCATGGTGAATTGAACACGAAAACATGAAAACTGACTGTGACACAAAACTCAATTTAGTGAATCAAAACAAAAAAATATTTGAACCCTTCTCACCCCACCCTGGCCAAACAAAAAATAATGATTTTGATTAAAAACTAAACTACTCCAAGAAAAAAAATGAATTTATAATACAAAACAAAAGGGAGACATGGAAGATGCTCAGACACAATGTGTCTGTGCATAAATTGCTTTGTGCGTTTCAGGCCTATTACTGTGTTGTTGTTTCGGCCTTCTTCTTCAGGACCTGAAATAAGATTTATAAAAAATGAAAAGTAAACAAATGAACTGATAAGAATAGAAGGCTCCATTAATAAACAAGAAATGAAAGAATTTAAAAAAGACGGACAAATGCATTGTCAGTTTTACCTTTAATTATTGTTCAATCAGTATCAATTGGTTAAGTATATACTCATGTTTTATCTAGAATTAAAGTGGAGCGTTTTTACAATGAGAAAAATAACAAACATTACCTTGACACGCCTTGCCTCGAAAGCCTCCTGCTTGGCCTTCTTGGCGGCACGGATGGCATCCAGGCGTTTCTGTGCCTCCGCCTCCTTCTGCTTGATGGCCTCCGCAGTTGTCAGGATTCTAGTTGATTCAGCGGCCCAGGCGCGGCGTTTTACTGCCTGAAATTAAGAAAAAAGTTATCAAGACCTGATGTACTAATATTATTTTCTTTTCTAAAAACTGCAAGAAACTGAGAAGTTCATCATTTAGTAGATAAGGAAAGCTCACGAATACATACGAGGAATTAGCATAATCTGAGACCATATATTTGGTCTTCTTATTTCAATTCTAATCAATTTTATAAACTCTAGCATTTGAATTGACCACCTCGCGTGAAGCCAAACTTTAAAGTAAAATTCATACTATAATTGAAACGGCACTTACTGAGGAAGCAGTCGCATATCTTTCTTTCAGTTCTGCTGCCCTTTGGCGCATTGCCTCTTGGCGGCGATTGAGTGCATCTTCATTTTCCAGGTCCTCCCTTGATTTGGCAGCTGTTTTGGGGCGGCTGATCCTAGGGAAAAAAGATACAAATTTGACTTATGTAAAAAGTGGATAATTCTTAATAAGTGTGTGTGTGTGTGAGAGAGAGAGAAGGAGAGAGAGAAAGAGAATACACAAGGCAACATTCCACTTACTTTGGCCTAGCAGTTTTGGGCCTAGCCCCCTGCAGGACCCACGCTTGTCCTGCTTGGCCGCTGTGGCCTTCTACAGGCTTGAGTTTGGCTTGCCTCATTTTGATTTTTAACCCGATATCCAGGGTTGGCAACTGAAAATAAAATAATATAACTCTTAAATCCGTTGATTATCAAAATATATGATTATTTAGAAACAGACCTCTTTATTCACTGTCGGCTGAAGGTTTCATTTCAAACTTTCAAGATTCTAAAAATATTTTTTTCATTAGATGATTCTTCTTTAGTTATGGAGTATCATAAAATTCCTATCCATCAAAAGAAGAGGCAATGAGAACCAAAGGAATTTGAATAGTTTTGGTATTGGAAACAAATATTGAAAGTTGCGCAATTTCCAGAACAGAGTAGATATATTGCAATAAGTGTAGACTTTGACGCAGAAAGAGGCGCGGAGTCCCGCAAACACACAGCGTCATTAAGTTACGTCAATATCACGTCGTGACGTTAAAATGACGTCGCGTATCTGCGGCAAGGAGGTCTATGTGCATTGCATGTCTTCAAATCTACTGAAAAATGCAAGATCTGAAAAACGTGTAGATATATGTAAGATTATATTTTCAAAAGTCACCAGTTAACAGCATCACGCAGAGTGGTCAAATCTTGACAAAAATAAGCAAATAAAATGAGATACATTAATTACCAAAGCCTTGGGTACTGGCGGCATAGGTACTGGTTCCAGGTTGGGATGAACCCCAACTCTTGCGGATCTTCTTATTCTGTTTCTAATAAACGAGGCAGCATTTGAAAGCCTTCCTCTCGCCCGTCTCATTGCGCTGCTAATAGCATTCCCTAAACCTGGAATGCAAGACATTTTTGACTTTTATATGGACAGATTTTTTTGGAAACAATTAAACACGTCCGTACAATAGAGTACTTCGTTGTCTACTGACTGTTGACGTTTCTATAGAAAGCACACGTCATGATGGGCTTTTCTACTATGACGTCACAGTGTATAACGAATATGATTGGCCCTTTTCCGCTTTTTTTTCTTTTGCATGGCGAACTGAGTTTTTCCCTATCGAATAATTAAACATTTATAAATAAAAATAAAATTTAATACACGTGACATATGTAAAGATATAACGTACCATGCTGACATCTAGCGTTCATATCCATTTAATTTTATGAATGAAATTCTCTAAAATGAATTATATTCAGTTGAAGTGAATGCCAAAATTTTGGTAAAGTTGAGTTTTCTCAAAATTAGTGGGCATATTTTTTGTTTACACTCTCCCTCATAGAGTCCCTCTCCTAATGTACATAGAGATATTAGTTAGATCATTAAGCATTAGATGCTTTTGGCCTGTTGGACTGGTTTATGTCTTATTTTAATGATTGAAATGTTTAACGAAAAACAATACAACCTGCTATCATTATTTTTAATTTATTTTTTTTTTTCGGTGGGTCTTATAGATTTCATTAAATATATTCACTGTACAACTTTTAAATGTACACCCTTAACCATTAGTGGCGGATTTAGAGGGGAGTCAGGAGGGTCCTGAACCCCCCCCCCCCCACCCCTTTGGTTTCTGAAAAATGTATCACACCAATATTCCCCTCTTGAAATGACAATTTTGACTATCTAAATAGTTCTAAACCGTACCAAAGGGCACTGTTTACTCTCCAAAACACCAAAATTTTTTGGGGGCCTTTGAGCAGGCCCCAAACCCCACACCAAGGGACCGATAGTCGGCTACGCATCCGAGGCCTGTCGCACCCCCCCCCCCCTTTAAATAATCCTGGATCCGCCCCTGACCATCGATTTTAAGTTTAGGACATCATAGCTAAATAAGGACGTTTCTTACATGCAATTATTCACTATATATATGACACTTCTTTTGATTTTATCTTAAATTCATTGCTTCATGCAGGAATTCAAAATGCTTTTTATATAAAATGTCAAACAATATACATAACGAAGCATTCGTATACTGTAATAGTTGTCTCTCTGTCCTCTTGAATAAATCAACAATTATCATTACAGAGATGTTTGATGCTCATTATTTTGTAGCATCTTCGTGATAGTTTTTTCTTTCTTTCTTTTTTTTTTTTACTTTTGAAAATATTTAAATTTGGGTCGTAGTCGTAGTCGTTAAAAAGTATACATGACATCACAACGTATTGGTCGCTAAAAAAACTTTTCAGCAATTCTAAATTAGAATAACAGTATTTTAAATATACTTGTTTACATTTTTGCTTAGTGTGAATATGAAAATTGACAAAAGAGCCAATTAAACTTACCAACCTTCACAAACACAGTGGCTTGAGATAACAACTACCACATCTTTGAGACAGGGCTCTGGGAGACATCCCGCGCAGACGTGTCAGCTTGTGACACGGGTGAAAACAGTTAATTGACCCGAAAAAGGCCTTGTGATAAGGTCGAAACGCCGTGATCTCCATTTCAAAACATAAGACCCAGTAAATATGAGATTCAATTCCTTTTCCCATCATTAAGTATAAATCACTTAAGTAAAGGAGGGCATTATTAGTACGGGGGTTTAGAAAAATAATTGACAGCTTACTCCTGGCCTCGAAAGCCTCCTGCTTGGCCTTCTTGGCGGCACTGATGGCATCCAGGCGTTTTTGTGCCTCCGCCTCCTTCTGCTTGATGGCCTCCGCAGTTGTCAGGATTCGAGTTGATTTAGCAGCCCGGAAATTAACGGATTTTCTAGAGGTTTCAACACTCTAGAAAACACTCTTCAAAATCAACGTCATTCTCGTAATGGAGATGGAGTTTCTCGATTTCAATACTGACGGTTAAAAAGTTACAAATGTTGAAGTTAAAATCGGGGCTTCGTTTTCTTCTTAATAGTTTTGGACAGTGAATATTTTGTTGTTGAAGGGGAAATTGCCTGAATTTCTTAGGGTTTGAAAATGTTTTATTTTACTTTTTCTTTATATAAGTCTAGCGAACATTATATGCCTTCAAGCTTAAGTCTGCTCGCTAAGCCCAAGTCAGTCAATTAGTTTGCTCGATCCGATACGGAGAAAAGCATCTCAAAACATTTTAGAATGTTTTATTTCAGAATCAGAAACTGTCAGACACAGCAAAAATAATAATAATTAGGATTATGCTCTATTATAAAATTGTCATTGCAGTAGTTTCGAGGTCATAAAACATATGTGTCATCAAGCAAATTAATTATCAACTGACATCAGCTGTCACGGATGAAAGCCTATACTCTGTTAAAAATTAATCATACAACATGTTAATGGATGTTAATGAGTAACACTCGTTTCATGGGTTTCACGGCATGATGCAAGACACCAAAAGAACAAGTAGGAACACAACAGACTCCGTTTTTAATGTCCATCCGTGCTCTGATCGACTATAACAGGTTTTAAAAAACACACACATGCACGTGCGCACACCCATAAACACACATCGCCCGAAGAAAAATCACAGAGAAGGAATGAAAAAAATACCGAAGTGCACAGATATTCACAGTTCTTATATTGACATATGATGATGTAGTCTTACGATATGTTTCAAATAAATAATAATAATGATAATTTTCAGTATAAATTTCTGTTATTTAGCAGAAAGGTAATCAAAAACAACGGCTTCGACCCCCTCTCTTTAACTGACTCACACACACCACGCGTACGCACACTCGCACGTTCTTGCACAGACAAACACCTTCTATACAAACAAACGACAAACCCACATAAATTGACACGTTATTTTATTACAAAACAGACAAATATTTCACAAATCTTATCTGTAAGAATATGTCAGTGAGTTCATCGGAACAAACTACATGTAGGCCTATATATACTATCTTCTGTACTGTAAGGCGGATAAATGATTAACAAGAAAATAAAGATAAAACATTTACATTGTGAGAGAGGCCGGTAGATAAGACCTATGGGATAAGAGAGTTGTAGGCCTAGATGCAGCCCCAAGTGCACCCCCGTGGACCTGTTTCACGGTGGAATTTTAGCCCGAAAGTTGTCAAAATCTTAAGACCAAACGTTTTTATATACTTTGCCCCCCCCCCCCCGCCCCCCCAAATGAAATAAGAATTGGTAGCATTTCATATCAAGAAAGCATGGCTAATCCCTCAGACTAGTACCTCTTTTATCTACGTGGACAACTATGGAGGTATCTTGAACTGCATTAGACCAATTTTCGGGCAGACGATATTTTGTAATTCTGACACCAGGTATTTAAGGAAGGTGTCAAACATTCATCACGAGTTTCATTATGAAAATAAGAGCTCATTTCCAATGAATCCATCGGTCTACAAAGATCAATCCAACTCCGCGGGGACTCTGGCTGAATGCGGTCAGATAAGCAGATTATTACACTTCCTCGTGTTTAAAACGTAAGCGCATAATCGCCGGCTTTTCTGCATTCTACTCAATGCCAGTTGAAGGTGTGTTAATCCATTAAACTGATTGCATTCAGCGAGTCCCCGCAAAGTTGGATCGGGATCGATCTACTCGGACCGAAAGTTTCAGTGGGATGAGTCCTACGGTAAATAGTTCAACTTTAATTGTTTGCACCTGCTTAATAGCACGTGGGGTTGTTACCCATAATTTTTATGGGTAACAAGTTTTTATTATTTTTTTTTAATTTTTTTATGTAAACAGCGCTGAGACGCATGTGTAGCGCGGTTTTAAAGAAGTGTTTTATTATTATTATTATTATAATTTCAGAAAAGAAAAAAAAAATTCAATATTACACTTGCAATTGCAAATAGTTTATCAAAGTCCCATGCCCTGATTTTCTCAGAGCTTATTTATGACCCTTCGACCGTCTGCCAAACATTCAGCATGTATAACTTGATTGTGGTTCATATCATGTTAAATGAAGATCACATATTTCGTTGTATACATGCAGATAACATCACCGCTACAGCTACGTGTACGTGCAAAATTTAAGGTACACAGATTACTTATTTAGATAAGGATTAATCCATAAAAAAGTGAACATTTGAGTAACGTCAAAGACGTAAACATTTTGCGTGATATTTGCTTAACTGTTTTATATCACTTTAATCACTGTTGATTTTTTTCAAATTGGAGGGTACCGTTGTAGAAAGCAGAGAAAATAATGGGGCGAGTGAAATTTTGGGAAATTAATTAAATATTTTCAAAGAAAAATTATCAGCCTGAAACGACAAAATAAAACTTCAGGCACATTACAGCAATGACGAGAACAGAAATAATGTATTTTAATACGGTCAACAATAGATACCTTTGGTTTCATTAACTCGCGACTAATCATCAAGTTCGAGGGGTTCGAATTAATAAGCAGTAAAATATTTAAGTTACTGATAGTCTCCATAAACAACTTGCGCTCATATATTGAGGTTTTTATTGCACTGTGCCAACATCTTAACCTCAAGATTTTTTTTCTGATCCTGGCATCATTAACACTTTGCCAACCTAAGCGTTAACCCATTAATGACGAGATAATGAAAATTACGTCAGATTTTTTCCTATACATGTACATGTATCATTTTATTTCACGAGTTACACTGTAAAAACTAACAAAGCCTACAAGCGACAATTTTCATATTCAACATAACTTTAACAATGCTGGTATCTACAGTTAACGGTTTTTTCTTTGGTGGATTACAACAACGTATACGACTAGGTTGATAAACAGCTTTCAAACAGTTTGGCACACAAACATCATTAGACTATATTCGAGCAGTAACATCATACTGTTACGTACTACTAATTCTAATATCTTGTAATGATTTGATACATGTATGACCAGCTTAAAATTCAAAGGGATAACAACTGTTCTTTTTAGCCAAAAAATGTTTTTTCCTGGGAAGAACGGCAATTTTCCGTTTATATACTGCTGCTTACCAGTGGTTAATGAATCCATTCAAAGTTAGTCGCTTTTTTTTCTAAAAAGTCATTATTATAAATATTATTATTATTTAATATAATTATTTCTTAAGAGATATTTACAGAGGGTAGCCATCTACGGAGGTCACGAGATCCGATGCAAAGCACAGATTCCAAAATAATTGCGATAACTGCCGTTTTGGTAGTAAAATAGAATTTCTTATATTTCTGTGAATGGTTCACAGTGTATTTATTGTAAAATATGGATCCCATACGAAGAGTTGTTATCCCTTTTACCAAATTACTGGTACCAGTTAATCCCCATCAATTCGACAAATTAAGACTTCGTGGTCAAGAAATATTTGTAAACATGACATGATTATCATTCCTGTACAAAAATAAGTCTATATATGATATAAAAGTTTTGTTCTCAAACGCTTTCCAACCAATTATCATTTATTTATAGTGTCATTCCGTTCGCACTACTTATCACATTTCTTGGTATCCCTTTCTCCGCGGCTTGATAAGACAGGCGAGCACTGACACTATAACGATGAGCCCCGCGGTGCCTCCCAGGGCAATTCCAAGAATCTGATCGTTGGTAAGCCCCCCTGTAGAGTTCGGCGTACACTGAGCCTCTGCAAAGAAAGTGGGATTCATGTCATTCAGTTTTGCAGGGTGGAGCTTATCTTGGGCACCTCCAGTGCTGCCACCTTCAGTACGTGTTTGTATGATAAGTTCAAGTTATATAATTTCTCAGGGAATGCCTGACACGGTGCTGCCACCTCTAGTGCAAATAGATGAATAAACTGGTCCCTCTCTCGGTGAAAGTTGTAAGTCTGTTCCGCGAGTTGCCTGGAGTTTTGTGTGACTAGGGGAAAACTTCATCCATTTTCACTGCATGTATATATTCAAAGTTGTAGGGCCTACAATCTTGAATACTGAATGCAGGTTTTGTTGGAAAGCAGAACCACCTGTTGATAATATGTTGTCACGTGTTATATACATTCTACCATGCAGTCTAAGCAAGCCATGCAGTTAGTGCCCGATTTGTCAGTATGACTTGAGAACATTGCACATGCACATTCACGAAAGATTCAAAATGTTATTTCATCATACTATTAGTATTTTTGTCTTTTAATAATTACTTTGGTAGATTGTTCTTTTGGGTTTGTGATACAATACTTTACAATGCACATAATCAAATGCTTTCTTGAAATCCATTAACTTGTAAAAGTGATGCGTGCTTCGAAGAACCCCGGATATAGGTGAGCTGGGAATTTATAAAAAATACATCCACACGAAAAAAAAACAATAAAAATTCTTATTCAAGCGTCGAAAACAAGATTCTTAAATTAAGATTATTAAATTATCAACACCAGTACATTTTCAGTCACATGTAATAGTTTAAAGGCTTGAATAATCTTTTCTTTTGCGACGGGCGCAGCAGGCGACAGCCGTAACAATAATGATAACAGCCAGCACGGATGCGATGACTATGATTGCTATTTCATAATCCTTCAGACCACTTGGACCAGTAGAAGAAGAGTCGCACTTTACCTCTGCAAAAACAGAAATGGGGAATATTGGTTAGTAAATTGTTAGTAGTAAAAAGATGGAGGGGGTAGGGGTGGCAGGAGTTAATTGGTGCACAGATGAATTAGTTGCTAGTGGATTAGATCAAAGGTAAATTCGAGAGTATTTCTCTTAGGGATTCATACACAGAGGTAGCCAGAGTATATCTGGGGGATTGGTGAGTACTAGTATATCACTAAGGGTTAAACGGAAGCGGCCCTTTGCGGACATTCAGCTCCATGTGGTGTTTTTCTCTTCCAATCTAATGTGGAATCGGTAAGTCTTTAGTCCGATCAGCAGCGACCCAAAACCAACAGCATCTCACCAAACCACATATAAAATCTTGTTTCTACTTTATTCATATACTCCACATTGCCCTGCACTGACTGATCCAGGATTAGCAATATGCTAATGGGGGCGCGGGATGGAGGAGGGGGGTTGGAGGGGGGGGGGCACAGGCATAGAAAATATATAGAATATAGGCGTACACAAGGACGGTTTTTTCTTTAATATTCACAGCACAGAATTGAAAAGGTGGTTTGGCATTGCCTCATTTTGTTCGTTGTTCCGGAGGGACACCGTGCTACCACGGTTTATAACAAAAAATGAAAATAAACAAATATAAAAACATGACATAAGCATGACCTATAAGAACACTCCATTCAGCACATGTAATCTATAATTATACAATAACAACAATACCCAGTATTAAACGCCTACACAGTTGTTCCCAATACAGAAAGCAAATATGGCCAATCTAAACACTACTTCACTTTTATATACAGATAAATCATCTACAATATTACAGGTTCTCTTTTACTACAAGTTGACATTCTCCTTCCCGCAGTGAAACGATTCCAGGGATTAGACACTGACAGTTTTCAATATATAAAACGTACAATTTCAGAATGTCTCATATCCAAATTGTCTCCCATTTCTATGACGATTTACAATGCAAGAACCAAAAATAACCACAAGGAACACGGCTATCACTGTGGCAATCACTATGGCGACATAGTACTTGGTTTCTAAGGCAAATAGTGTGAACATTGGGATGGTGTTGTCGTGACATACACCTGGAAAGATGATTATAGGGAACACTGAAGTCACTATGACTGGGTTCCCACCGATTTAGATCGATCCACCTGGATCGAACTAACTCCCTGGGGGTTCACGCTAAATTGCTGTCAGCTTCCGGGAGCCGAGCGCGCACAAAAGTTAATTACCCCCTTACAGGTTTTAGTAGGCGGGACAGACATTTAAGCCGGTTAAGCTGACAGCAATCTAGTGACACTCCCCAGGGGGATAGATCGATCTAAATATCTGTAGGAATGGTCTCTAAAGCAATCACCATAATAATATTAAAAATGCCTCGTTGCTAATGAAAATCACATAAGGCTTGGAAATAGCGTTGCATGGACAAACACCTGAAAACATGACCAAAGGAAAACACTACTATCAATTTGGCAATTACAATGGCAACAGAGTGACTGGTTGTTTGTGCAAATATAGTTAAGTTTGGAAGTGTTGTCGCAAGGACTAAATCCTGGAAAGAAAATACCAAATATGGCCATATTGAGTATGTTATCCTGCAAAACTTGGAAATAGTGGCCCTGCATTGTACAAGATGAAAGCTGCATGTGCCAACCCAGAGATATTTAGAAGGCACCGCCTACGCCAGTAAACGGTATTAATTATAAAACTTTTTGCTCCACCTCGATTCTGAAATTAATTTTTGACCGAGATTTTTGCATATGATTGCCAAATTTAAATATCTGAATTTTGCTGTGTGTTATCTCTAGCGTTTCATGAAATCAAACAATACAGCTGGGTTCAAAATGTTATGAACACAATACACTTAATAAATAAATGTGCCAACGCAGATTCTTCATCAGTATTTGGTAAAAACAACTGTCTACACTAGCAGAATTCAGTAATAGTGATGATCATCAAATGATAATGGTGTTTATTTCCAATTAAAATGGTTGGATTGTAAAATATATATGAAATATAAATGGTAAAATTTAATAAATGCGGATAAAATTAATAAAATTATTAATTTGGTGAGTAGTGAAAATTTTGACAATGGGGAGCCTTATCGTGAATAAAATGCGTCCAATAATTTGTAAAAGTGTACATCCGTAGCGGCGCGCAGGGCGTGAGCCAGTACCAACTGATATATAGTATATAGTATATAGTATTTGAGGAATGAATAAGAAATTCAAATGTTGCGCTTTGTTACAACAATTGACGCATAGACGTTTTCATCTACGGTGGTGAAACAAGATCATGTGACAAGATCGAAACACCAACACGTCAATTTTTCCACTAAAAGCTATCAAATCACCTTCTTCTCATAATTGACCAAATACACATATATAATTACCTTGTCCCTTAAAATCTGCGTCATTTGTGTCTCGGAATGCTTGGAATTTTAGTTGTGTAAACATGATCTGTGTGTCGTCTGCGTCTCCAAGAGAAAGCCGTTCACTACAAGTGTAATATTGGCTCGCGCTAACGTTGACAGCGGTGTCTTCATTCTCTGATGGTTTGAACTCTGCGTAGAATCTCTTGCCTAAATAAAAATAATAACCTTAAGTTATTGATTAAATTGTATATGGATAAATGAAGAAACGATTATTAAAAATAATAATCAAAGAATGTATTCTGTTAGAGTATTAAATTTATTTATTGATAAATCATAACATACATACATACATACCGAGGTACACACACACACACACACACACACATATATATATACCGGTACATACAAGATATTGCATTGCATTGCATTGCATTACATTATAGGCCTATTACCAAAATATCTACACACAAAATTTTTCAATTATCATAGTCTAAGAAAGAAAGAAAGGTACAGAGATCTCAAAAATCTGCAATTACACATTCAAGGCGAAGAGACGAAAAAGTGGAGGTGTTTGAATTCTCACCTATGTCTGTCTCCGCAGGACCATCAAAATAATTAGGATCTATCACATAGTCTAGTTCGATATTATCTAGTTTGTAGGAGGTTGCCGCCTGAGCAGTGACACCGTCATACGAAACCTGAAAAGAAACATTGATTAATTTAGATAAGTGCGTATGCGTGTGTGTGTGTGTGTGTGCGCGCGCGCGCGCGTGCGCGTGCGTGTCCCTCCGTGTGTAAGAGAGAGAAAGTGCTGGGAGGCAGTGATAGAGAGGGATATCTCTAAAGGTAAATGTGGGCATTGCATCATGCATATAGTGCATTATTCTTTCTTCTTTTTCGTGTCTTTTAAAAGTTTTTTTTTTTACTTACTAATTTATAAAAAGGAACCTTTGACAAGTTTGTATTTCCATCAAACATGAAGTGAAATTCCCTCGATTCTTCTTGCACCACTGCACCAACAAAATATTTCGTTGATGACATGTAATGAAACATTAACATTATCATAATTACCTGGTTTGTAAAGGTAAGGTTTAATGTCCAGGACCCATTAATACCCTCATTAAATTCAAGCCACAGATACTGCGTAGTGACCCCCTCGTTGCAGGAGCCACCAGCTGTTATATTTGCTGCAGTGACTTTTTGGCGAGCGGTCTGAAAAGATATGTAGTCGTATTTTTTATTTTTTTAAAATGTAACAAACACATATTGTCAGCAATGAAAAAGAAAACAAGAAAACATGCCAACAAAACTATTTTTAAAGTTTACTCATATTGCGGATTTTCGAATCATACCGTTACGTTATCTTGTGAATGTCCGAGCTTGTGATCAATAAATCACAAAATAACAAAGTCGATGTTGAGGAGGATGAAGATGAAGGCAAAGATGAAGTAGATCGACAGTAACACTGTTTGACTTGATGGGATGTGTCGCAGGTAAAAATCCCTTCAACTCAAAGCAAACGCATTTTGTATCTGAGCTATGAAAACGATTGTGACTTTACCCCCAGGGCATCACCTCTATCCTTTAGAAAAGAGAGGTTGATTGCATTACATGATACTGGTACCTTAAACTGTACATTGATTTTGCGAAAAAAGAAAAATAATAATAATAAATAAAAAACTGCTTCGAAATATACAAAATAATTTCATTTCATATTGCATCTAGCGTCCAGTCACTGCTGTCCTCATCTTCTTATTTAACCCAACCCCCCTCCTCCTTCCGCCAAATTTCTATGCGCTCACACATAGAATAGATATTCCAGTTCTACATACAAATGATATGCTTAATTTACCGCATCTTGTGGTGCTTGTAAGTTATACACTATGTCCAGCTCAAACTGCATCTCGGCCACGATGCAAACCGTGCCGTTTTCCCCAATAACCTCGTACTTAGTGTCGGGTTTCGGCGTTGGTGGTGCCTGAGTTGTCGCCATTGCTGTCGTCGTCACCGCTGCTGCTGTCGTCGTCACCGCTGCTGCTGTTGTTCCATTCACTGTTGTATTTGAGGTTGTTATTGCCGCTGTTGTCGTTGTTTGCGCGGTCGTTGTTGTTTGTGCAGCCGTTGTTGTTTGTGCGGCAGTTGTTGTTTGTGCTGACGTTGTTGTTTGTGCAGCCGTTGTTGTTGTTTGTTGTGTTGTGGCGGTTGTTGTCGGCACCGTTGTGGTGGTGATGACGGTCGTTGTTGGCGTTTGCGTTGTGGTGGTGTTGTTTTGGCACATGACAGCACCTAAATGGCAGAAAATAAGATTGTATCATTGAATGGAAAATATCAGGTGCTGCTGACAATATGTGCATCTATTTAGGTCAAGAGGACAGCGTATGAAAGGTGGCAAAATGGAAACAGTGGGGGATTAGAATCACCCCCTGGGTCAGTCTAATTAATTGAAAAGTCTTAGAAAATTTTAGGTGTGATGGTCTTCCGATTTTCATTAACCTAACTAGGACAACTACGCGTTTATTCCCGTTTATTGTGTTAATGAACGTAAAATAACAAAAACAAACAAATTATCCTCTACCAGGGTCACAGATTGATTTTTCACCAGATATTCACAGCTTTGCCTTTGGTTAATTAGCTTTTTTCTAGCGTAAAAGAATTTTTGCATTCTCTTGGTCTCTGGTAAAGAGTACAAACAAAATAATCTACAGTTATAATATAACAAAGATATATAAAACAGAGTCGACGTGTCTTAAAATCACTTTTCATGCCGAGTGATTTTTCAGATAAAGCCTAAAAAGAATGAGGAGTCGCTCAAAAAAAGTAATTTGTAACGTTTTGTACATGTGTTAACTCTGTGTGTCTTTATCTCTAAGCCTCTTAAGGAAAAAAAGCAATGAATTTTTTGTGCGGGGGGGGGGGGGGGGGGGGGGCATTCCCCCATTTTGGTTTTAACCATGGGGGGGT